TTGAGAGGAACACCTGCTAAGACATGTGAGAAACTGTATGAAACTGCCCTTTTTAGTGAGACCATTGCTTGGGAAGTGGGTTTATTGACCCAATAGTCAGCCCTACATATGAGATTGCATATCATATGGAGTGCTACATCAGGCATGTATGTAATTACAGTAGACTTCCGATAATCCGGAACCTATGGGACCTAGGTTGTGCTGGATTATCAGATATGCCGGACTATCAGGAGGTACTATAAAATGGTTATATATATATACTGTATATAAAGTGTTCTTAACCCTTTTTATTGTACATACTGTATACAGTATACTGTAATGTTTTAGTTTTTTTATGCCTTTTTTAACCTTTTTGCTCAGTTCAGCTGCTGCCGCTGTTACCTTGTGACTCATTTTTTGCTGAAGCTCACTCACTAGGCTCTTGCCATTTTGATGCCGAACTATCAGGAGTGCCGGACTATTGGATGCTGGGCTATTGGAGTTTTATTGTACTTGCCACAAAAGGTAAAACTAACAGAAGCAAATACTGGCTTTACTACTGAACAGTCTGCAACTCAGCTGGAGTTCTTCAATTGCCTTGCAGAGGGGCTAGTGCGTGGAAAAGTGGTGTCAATGGCTGATGCAGAAGCTAAGTGCAGATAAATATGGGTTTTGAATGGGATTGATGAGAAATACATGCTTAACAGAAGGCTTTAAAAGCACTTGTAGGCAGGGGCAGGGCCAGCTGCTGGCCTGCTCGCTCCCTGACAAACTTTGCTGCCAGGAAACCTTGCTGCACTGCCTTGGAACTGACAAAGGAGTCACAGCATCTGATTAGTGGCTGGGTTAGCTGCCTTGCGTCTGAGCCTGGCACTCACAGGAGCTCAGTAACTGCTCAATGTGTACTATGCTTGCATGTACTGTGCTTGCCTGCTCCTGCTTCTAATCACTGCATCTGCCATGCTTCTAGTCCCTGTTCCTGCCCTTTTCCGGTCCTTGTTTCCAAACCTGCTCCTGCTCTATTTTCCATGGTGCCAGCCCCTGTTGCTCTCTGGCTTCTAATTTCTGGATTCAATACTTTGGCCTTTGACTCTGGTTACCCTCTAGCATTCAGCTTCTGTTCCTCCAGTAGTGAATCTTGGCTCCACCTCTGGCCTATGACTCTAATTACTCTCTGGCTCTGGCATTCATTTCTGTACAGTGCTGAATCTTGGCTCATTCATGGACTCTGTTTGCCTGGCGCCAGCTGTATGCACTAGGTGTGACCATCGATGGCCTGGTCAATCATATTTATTGAAGATGCACTGTGGGATATGAATATAGTTCTGAGCAATACTATCCACAGAAATGAATCACAGCACATATCTTTAAATGTAGCAAAAGATGTAGAACTATTCAGAGCAGAAGAAAGTGCTGATGTCAGCAGTAATATGAAGACTCTATTTGCAGCTGTTACATTTTTATGGAGAAGCATTTTGTCCTGCAGTAGATGGATGTTTCAGAGATCCACAACTGATACCTAAGCTGAAAAAAAAATTATACTGCATTCAAAGAATTGCTTGTAGAATTTTGGCGTTGCCTGGGGTAATGCAGCTGCTGCCTTTAGTAGAGTTGCTCCGTAGTTCCCATGTGGAAGCTTGCACTAAAATTATCTTGCATGTCATCAATGCCCCACACAGTGAGTTTCTACCAAACTCTGGATTTTGCACAAGATACAGATGTCCTAGTGCTCTTTCCGGCTATGTCCACACTGCCAGTTTTTGTGCAGAACATATGTTAATGAGGGACTCGTTTGCATGAGTTGTGATTTCATTTGCATATTTTTTGCTGATCCGTTTTTGTGCGAGGGGGTTCTGCGCAAAAAGGAAACGTCCATGCTGCTTGTTTTTGTGCAAAAACGGATCCGCAGAAAATATGCAAATGAGATAGTGACTCATGCAAATGAGTCCCTCATTAATGTATCTTCTGTCGCAAAAACTGGCAGGGTAGACGTAGCCTCTGAGATGTTACCCTAGACTTCCACATTTTTGTAACTGCTGCTGGGGAACAGAATTGCTGCGTATCCCTCAGAAATGTATTCCTTTCACTCAGACCATTAAAATTGTCATGTTGCCTTTCAGGATGTTACACTTCTGGACAGTTGGATGGAAAGTCCAAATTATCGTACTGGAAGGAATTTGATTCAGCTTCTGAAGACTCTCTCCTTGCTCTGAAGGTGCTCGGAATGCTGAGATACCCCAGCCACATAGAGCCCATCAGAGCTTTTAATCTGGTCCTTAAGCTCCATGGCCCTGCTCTGGAGCTCCACCCATGGAGCGAGATCGGGGGCTTTCACTGTGCTGCCCACCCGGGGCTCCAGCCTGGGAATGGGGCCAGGAGCTTGCTCTGCTCTGCCCACCTGGCGCTCCCACAGGGGGCTTGCTGTGAGCATTCATGGCCCGCCACACAATTTCCTTACTCAGGTGTGGCCTTCAAGCCAAAAAGTGTGCCCACTCCTGAGGTAGACCTTGATTTGGTCATAAATGCACTGGAGGTGTTCATGTGCCAAGTTACGACACTCACAGAGCTACATGGGAGGAAAAATGGTTGCCAGGAAGAAGTGTATTTATATCTTCTATCAAGAGAGTAAATTATCAAGCAATAGAATGGCTCTGGGATAGGTGAGTGCATCCAAACTCATCGTCTCCTGTTGGGTATGAATGGGTCTTGGAGGATGAACAGATCATACCAGCTACATGTGAAATACCTTATACTCCTGAATCAGTCCTTCAAATAATCAAATGCTCACCTAGCAAGACCAGGTGCTCAGCACCTTACAAATATTTGGCTAGTAGCCTGGCTTGTACAGAGAGTACAGCTTGGAGAAGGAGTGTGACGATATGCCTAGCAGGGGCATCCTGGAAGGAGATGACGCTCTTGATGACGATGAATAAATGTTTTCAGTCTTACCTGAAAAGGCCAAGTTCTTTAGGATAAACAAGACACTGATGTTTGGGTATGTAAGCAACACGTCCCTGTGTTAAAGTGTTGTTTAAAAAAACATTTTTGACTATATCTTATGTAAGCAACACGTCCCTGTGTTAAAGTTGTTTTAAAAAACATTTTTGACTATATCACCACATCAGTGTTTTAGGTGTGTCTTGTTTCATGCCACCTTGTCTGTGGGAGGAAGGGCTTTTCAATAATTCCCAACTCTTGACCCATTGCTGATGGCATATTATCAAATTTTCCCACCAACCAGAGGACCAAAAGTTGGAGGGCAGCGATTCACCACACCACACCATAGAGGATAACACCATTGAAATTACGATTCTATTTTTATGACTCTACTGGTGCCTCTCTTAACTTTCTATCACTAACTTGCCCACAGGACAAGTTGTGCTCCCAGACTAAATACCATAGTGGCCGTGTAAGCCACTGCAGCTGTCATTTTGCACACAGACATAGCTCACAAGTCGCCTTAGGAACCAAATCTCTGAGCATGCCTCTGAACACCCTGAACTCTTTTTTGAAATCAGTGATAATGGAGAGTGCTCACCACTACTAAGGTGGAGTTGAGAAGCAGATGGCAGGATCCCTTCCTGCAGCACTGTATCTTATTCCGAAAAGGGATGTTCACCAGAATCATGGGGCCAGTCCCATATTTTCTGAGACTTCTAGAGCATAAGAACGGCCATAGTGAGTCTGACCAAAGTTCCATCTAACCCAGTATCCTGTCTTCCAACAGTGGCCAATGCCAGGTGCCCTCAGAGGGAATGAACAGAACAGGTAATGATCAAGTGATACCTCTGTCACCCATTCCTAGCTTCTGACAAACAGAGGCTAGGGACACCTAATAGCATTGATGGACCTACATTGGAGGAATTTGCTCCAAGAATTTAACTAACTCTTTTTTGAACACTATTAAAACCCTGGTCTTCACAATGTCCTCTGTTGAGGAATTCCACAGGTTGACTATGTTTTTAACTAACTCTTTTTTGAACACTATTGAAACCCTGGCCTTCACAATGTCCTCTGTTGAGGAGTTCCACAGGTTGACTATGTGCTGCATGAAGTAATACTTCCTTTTGTTTGTTTTAAACCTGCTGCCTATTAATTTCATTTGGTGATCCCTAGGGCATGTTTAAATTCCATTTGGATCCCCACCAAACATGAAACGTGCAAACCGAATGAGCAATGCTATCGACTAAAATGCTATGCAAACACTTAAACAAGACCATTCCTCCCCTGGAGAGCTCACTCTACATCATGGGGAAAAGAGCATGGGAGAGAATGCTATGAGTAAATTGCAACCCATAATGCATAATAAATACTATTCCCAGCTCACCTCTTTCCTAGCCATTAAAACCTTAGAAATCACAAGGAAAGTAACATGACCCTTAACACAAGCAGATTAATAAATTTTAAGGCTAGAAGGAACCCTATGGTTATCCGATCTCCATAGAACTAGAGGCTCTAGTATAGAAAGACATGATAATTGGGTTGGATGCTGCAATCCTTTCTCAGTGGCATGGCCCAGATCCCATGCTGAGCCAAACACTTGTAACTTCCAGGAAAGTGTCAGTACCTCTCAGGAATTGTAACTTCCAGGCAAGTGTCAGTACCTCCCTTCTTCTCTGTAGAATGGAAAGTTTCACTGCAGAATTAAGCAGAAATTGTCCATGCTTTGTGTCTCTGATTCCTTTGGAACAACAAACAGATAATTTGTGTGGAGAGAGAAATGGGGGGGCATCATTTTTCCAATTATCCCATCTCACAGTTACCAGCTTTTTGTTTCTGTCACTTCCCCATTGACTGTTTTCTGAGCCAAGATTTAACTATGAGACCGTGCTGGTGAAATATATCTTGTTTTCAGCAATGTCTGAAAAAAATCACATGAAGGGAAAATTAAAATTGTTTCTAAGCTGATTGGTATTTTCTCCAACTTCTTTCAGCAGAGTTTTCAGAACTTCCTGTAGAAAGCTGCATGCAAGCAATTATAAAGGTTGTCATGTGAATTTGTCAGGAGGTGGGTTATAGCTTTTTCCACATGGTAAACAAAAGATTGACTAATTTACCCTTTGCTGCTTAAAACACTTTCAGATCTCATAGAAAGCTGAGCTAGAGTTGCAGTGGTTTAGGATTGCCACTGATATTTGCTGATACTATCTTGGAATCATGAGTATATCACAAACTACTCCTCTCTTGTACCCCGTGAAACTGCTCCTCGTTTGTGCCATGCTGGGCTTCCTAAGTGTGCATTGCTTTAGGTAAGTGAATGTTTTTCAATATGTATGCAGAGACATGATAGATAATGAAATGGGATGCTGCCCCTCTGCTTTCCCTCTTATGGTGAATAAGAAATGTCATCTGAAGCTATTTTGAGGTCTCTGGTGAAGTAAGAAAAGGCGCTGTTTTAAAATCAGCATAATCTGAAGTGACCGGTTAGAAAAAAGTAACCCAAATCTATGTGTCCAAATGTTACAGTCAGGTTGTAAAGAAATGAAGAGCTGTTTGCAGTGCAAAATTCCAGACTCTGTGTGCCTCACAAGGGCATTTTGAGGGTTACTACATTCCAGCTTCATTTGGGAGTCAAAATAAAAGTAATTTAGCCTAATATGTGTTTGCTCTTTTACTACTTGGATAGAATCGGTACTTGTTGGGGGATGGGCTAGATCATCTCTTTATCTAGCTACTGGGATCCTAAATGTCTGAACTTGTCTAATACCTTATGGTCCTCATTTTGTGTGGACTACCTGCTTGGCTGATCCATTTCCCCCCTTCCTTTTTTTATATTGAATATTGAATGAACAATATTAAGAACAATCTGCTATATAGGAGGGTTAGCGCTCACATCTCACACTTCTTTCAATTCCTTGTTGTGACAATGGCTAGAGGCACTGATAGGGCAGTTTGCTTATCGTTGGTAGGTTTGGTGAAGAGGACGTGTCTAACATCAGGTCTGGCCTTTAGGGAACAGCACTGCTAAGTTCTGCAGGAAATAGAAAACCTAGGAGAGAAGACAGAATTACTGTGTTCCCTGGGAGCCTCTGGAACTATTATGTAGAGGAGAGGCAGGGGCAGTCAAACCCAAATCAGGGCTCAGGCCAGGTGTCTCAAACTCAATTTACCTTAGGGCCAGTGCTAGTCCCCAGATCCTCCTAGTGGGCCAGCTGGCTCTCCCTCTTTGGCAGGGCTCGGGGGCAGGAGTGTCTCCTCATGCTCCCTCCCCCACACATCTTCCAGCCCCCCCTGCCAATCCATGCATTTCTCCCCCTAGCCCCATGCATCCCCTGGCCTTGCCTGCCACCCCCAAGCAATTCAAACCTGCCTTGGGTGGCCTCTGGTGCCACCACTGGTAGTATAGCAGAGGTAGAGCAGCTCCTGGCTGCTAGCTCTGTGCCACTGCCAGCATATTGCTGTGGCCCAGGGGAGGTGTGTGCAGAGACATTTTGAAATGGCTGCCCCAGGCCCCATGCTTTGGGGGGGGGTGGAGATGATGATGATATTCACCAGAGACCCCAAAATAGCTTCAGATGACATTCCTTATTCACCATAAGAGGCAAAGCAGAGGGGCAGCATCCCATTTCATGTGGGGGACCATCCTTATGTAGGTAAGCCTGTGGGGCCGTGGGTGGGCTGGGGCCAGCAGCAAGAGTTGGGCACGCCCCATAGCAGCAGAACCATGGGGAAAATGAAGCTCCATAGCCACCTGCTCTGTCCCGCCACCATCTTCCAAGCCAGCCTGCGCTGGGCCAGGGCCACTCCACTTCCCGCCGCTGCAGTGAAGTGGAGCAATTGGTCTGGCTGGGAGGTTGTGGCGGAGTAGAGCAAAGGCTGCTTCCTTGCTCCACTTCCCCACAGCTCCCCCCACCGCAGTGAATATGGGGTACCTCATCCCTGCTTCTGCTCCACCCCAGCCTCCCTGGGAATTCCTGAGGCCATGTCCCTTGGGTGCAGGGGCTTGAGGAAAGGAGCGTGATGGGGAGAGGGGAGAAGGTGCGGCAGGAGGGGACCAGGGGTTGGATTGGGGGAAGGGTGCAGATGCCCCCCACTTAGGGCCACTGGAACTCAAGTGCCAGCAGCCGTGTGTGGGCTGGATTGTGGAACTGCTCAGGTTGCAGATGGCCCTATGGCCATGAGTTTGAGACCCCTGGCTTAGGCCTTCTAGACAAAACCAAATTTAGAATTAAGAGTCCTTTCAACGTTCTTAGAAAATATGCACATTTTTTTCAGCTGTAGGTGCCGTGTACACTTGGCTATAAAGTTTAAAACCACCCTTCATAGCTCAAAAAAGATGCACGTAGTATGGGTAAAATTCTGTTCTTGGCTACACCAGCGTCAGCCCCATGTAGTGAAGGCAATGGGACTGCGTGGGATTCACACCACTATCGCTGTGAGCCGACTTTGTCTCAGCAGCTCTCCAAGCGAAGTGATTGGCATTTTGAACAAATCGCACTGGCACCTATACATGTGCTGCATTGTTTGTCTGTATCATAATCATGGAAGGCTGGCTCTTTTATGAACCCTTGGTAAAATGAATTCATTTACTCTGTTTTGCAGTTCAAGTCACTGGTAAGAATGCCCAGAGGCCCTTGAGAATTTGAAATTACCGATAAAAAGAGGGATTTTTGGTTTGCTTCTAGCTGGTGTTACTGGATCCACAACACAAAGCATGCCAAACTTCCAACCTTAACACTCCCTTGGGGAGTATATCCTTCAACATGCTAGACCCTCGACCTCCACTTTTTAAACAGGAGCGCCCCACAGCCCCCTTAGTCCAATCCCGGCCGATTCCAGCACGTTGTTTCTCACCATGACTCCTTCACTAGTATGTCTACACTGGTGGGTTGTTGCACCAGAAGTATGCAAATGAGGCTAAGCGTGGAATATCGCTGAGCCTCATTTGCATACCTAATGAGCCACCATTTTTGCGGAAGAGGCTCTTGTGCTAGAAGGAGCTGTCTACACTGCCCCTTCTTGCGCAAGAATAACCCTCTTGCGCAATGCTGCTACACTGATTATTTTCAGGAATAAAGGCATTGCTCAAGAGGGTTTTTCTTGCGCAAGAAGGGACAGTGTAGACAGCTCCTTCTTGCTCACGGGCCTCTTCCGCAAAAATGGTGGCTCATTAGGTATGCAAATGAGGCTCAGCGATATTCCATGCTTAGCCTCATTTGCATACTTCAGGCACAACAACCCGCCAGTGTAGACATAACCTAGGTGTGAAAGTTCATGGCCCTTGTTGGAGACTTACCCTCTTGAGAGCTGTGCCACCAGCGGATGTTTGCTGAGACTCAGGACAGATGTTTCGTGACAAGACAACTGGAATGCACTAATTAGTGTCCTCGAAGAAGCACTACATGAAAAGCAAAGCCTACATGCACGGTGCATGCTGGCAGCCCAAAGTCTGCCCTGCCCAAACATCCAGGATTCACATCCCGCCAGCCGCATCCTCTAGCAGGATTCTGACTGCAGTCTGCTCACACCTTAGTTCTTTGGTTCCAGCTCCAGTCACACCATTTCATGTTCTGCCCCCCGAGGCACACAGATATTAAAAGTTAATGCCTGGTAGTAGGTCTTCTAGTCTATCTTCAAGGTGACTCCATTCGTATGTTGACATATTCATACCCACACTGCCTGCCTGCTTGATTCCCACCCAGTCACTGCATTTCCCATTCTTCTGCCGCAGAAAAGAAATTAACCGTTTCCACCCAGTGGTTAGTGATATAAAAGTGACTGGGGAAATTCAGGCACACAAACTATTGCTAAAAATAATATCAACATTTCCCACAAGTGAAAGCTGCTCCAAGGATCATCAACAATAGGCACCCCCCTTGTTTTAAGCTATCCATGGTGCTCTTAATGGAATTTTGTCTGACTTTTAGCTAAACAAGTCTGCTGCAGAACCAATTTTTGCCTGTTCCTTAGGAGAGTCCATGGTGCTTACAGTTGCAGTCCACACAATTGTATATCCAGTGTGAGATCAGTATCTAACACTGTATTTTGCTTCAAAAGATTTTAGTTGAGCACAACAACAATTATTTTTAGTATGCTGAGAGTGAGAGAGAGAGGGGTGCTATTCTGTTCTCCTAACTTTGAATTCCAGCACACTGAAATTCTGATTCATTGTGAACATTTAGTGATGAAAATGAACATCATCTTTGGCTAAATGGAGTCAACATAAGCCTAGCGAAAGGCAGATGGGCCCGCTCTGTAAGCAACCCCCCGCAGCCGATTGACTGTTTGCTTTCCAGCTGGTCATCATGGAGCACCTGTGACCCCTGTCAAAAGAAAAGAGTGAGTATCTATGATGAGGTTCAACAAGGACAAGTGCAGAGTCCTGCTCTTGGGATGGAAGAATCCCAAGCATTGTTACAGGCAAGGGACCAACCGACTAAGTAGCAGAAAAGGACCTGGAAATTACAGTGGACAAGATATGAATCAACGGTGTGCCCTTGTAGTCAAGAGAGCCAATGGCATATTAGGGTGCATTGGGAGGAGCATTGTCAGCAAATCTAGAGAAGTGTTTATTCCCCTTTAATATTGCATCCAGATCTCGGCTCCCCATTACAGAAAGGATGTGGATGCATTGGAGAACATCCAGCAGAGGGCAACAAAAATGATTAGGGGGCTGACTCACATGACTTATGAGGAGAGGCTAAGGGATTTGGGCTTATTTAGTCTACAGAAGAGAAGGGTGAGGGGGGATTTGATAGCAGCCTTCAACTACCTGAAGAGGGTTCCAAAGAGGATGGAGAGAGGCTGTTCTCAGTAGTGACAGATGGCAGAATGAGGAGCCATGGTCTCAAGTTGAATTGGGGGAGATCTAGGTTGAATATTAGGAAAAACTATTTCACTAGGAGGGTGGTGAAGCACTGAAATGGGTTCCTGGTGGAATCTCCATTCCTAGAGGTTTTTAACTCCATGCTTTACAAAGCCCTGCCTGGGTTGATTTAGTTGGGGTTGGTCCTGCTTTGAGCAGGGGGGGAGAGGGCTGGACTTGATGACCTCCCGAGGCCTCCTCTGACCCTAAGAGTCTATGATTCTATTATCTTAATGTAAAGCATGAGAAATATGAGAGAATAAAAGGCAAGATCACCTGTCATAATATTGCCTCTGCAAAGACTCAGTGATGGAGTCACTTTTCCTGGCCCATGACTCTTCACATCTTCTGCAGGGTGAATCTGCAGGGGCAATGCAGTTTGATATGAAATTCACCCTGTGCAAGGTACTCAGGGTCCAGCACAAGACCTACATACCACTGAGGTGTCACAAGAGACCTCCTAGAGCTTGAGTGGGTGTGCTAGGGTTCCCTGCATAGAGATGAATTTCAAGTAACTCTTTTATTGGGAAATGGGGGATGGGTTCAGCCCTTTGCTTTGGAATTCTGGCTCACCTCTGTCCACTCAGTCCTGCAATTCTGTACGTAAACAGAGTTCCCATTAACATACATGAGAATTTGCTCTTATAAGAGAGTGTAGGATCAGGCTTATTAATTTGCCCCCTTCCCTCCCCATACAAAATGTAGCAAGTGATCATAGTCCTTGGAGGGAGCATTCACTCATAGGGGCAATACCCACAGGGTTCCTGCAAGTTGCAAAGCATCCTCAGCTGCTCTGGATTTAAATGGGAATTGAGGGCATACACCTCACAGGGCTGGGAGACCCCTTTTCATTACCTGTCATGGAGCATTTTCTACATATGGAACTTCCTCAGACTAAGATCCTGTTCCTAATGAGGTGAATGGCCAAAATCCCATTGTTTTAAACAGGCAAGGTTGGAAAGATCGCTTGTGACCAGGTGAAGACGACCACTCTTAGAATGCAGTCCCCTTAGCCTTGCTTCAGCCCTTTGTAGTCGGAGTAATGATGTTGCAGCAATGTCAAAAGTGAAGGCTCTCAGTTCTGGAAAAAGGGCAGCAGAGAACTACTTCCCAGGGGGATTGTCAGGAAAATGTCAATAATGGAGCAGAAGGCCTAGTAAGCCCCCGGGCAGACAGAGAATCACAAGGGGTGTCGTTACCAACTGTAACTGAAAGAATGGAACTGCCATTGAACCCTTCGTTATTCTTTCCCGCTCCAAGTGATTAGTCCTATTGAAACAAAATATATCCTAATGTCAAAATAAAACCAACATTTTTTTTTTACTCTAATACTAGTAAGTGCGGAAATCTTGTTTAATAAAATTACTTTTTTTGAATTAGACCCACTGGAAGAACATCAAAATTCTACCCTATTTACTATTTTTCTTGGTGTTACTCGTATAGCAAATATACCTTAATACAAAATGTTTATATTTTAATTTAGGAGCCATAAAATTCATGCATTTTATCCGGGTGAGTAGATATTTTCTGTCACTACAGTACCGATTTGCCCGTGTGGAACGGCCTTCTCAGTTCGGTGGTGATGCATGTGACTACGCTGACAAAGAAACAGAAGCTTGTGTTACAAATAGTCCTTGCAGAAACAAAGTGAGATGCGAAGGCTTTGTATGTGCAATTACAGGTAAGCTCTTGAATG